TTTTTCAATGTATCTATTCGGAAAAATTTGTAAGTAAGTAGACCCATGCAGTTCAAACCCACATTGTTCAGGGGTCAACTGTAGTCATAATAATTACAATAACGAAAAGTATACATAGACAAAGTTTCAAATTATAGCTCCACCTCTGGGTGTTGGATAGTGGATAATTCAAAAGCTTTTCAGAAGTGTGCAAAGCTTTATAAATGTAAATTTTATGAACAGTTCAGAAATATGTTTCAGATTATTTATTGTCGAGAAGATTTTTCCAATAACATGTCTTATATACTTAGTTTTCCATATCACGATTATAAACAAGAATATTGTTGCAAAATTCTGTGAAAAGATAATGTAAATTCTGTTAACTAGTTTTTCAATTTGGATTTTCTTTTTCCCTAGAGTGTCACACTTTTCTAGGGAAATTTTCTTAGGTCAGTTAGTGAAACAACCAGTGTTCCATTCAATATCTTAAAAAAACTTCCATATCATGGAAAAAAATTTACCCTATCCCAACCCAAATGATAAAGAAAACACATAATTTATAGTTGGTGATAAATTTTTACATATAAAAACATTAAAAGAGAAATATATTAGTAGTTGGGTAAATTAGTATTATTTTAAACCTATTTCTTGTGGGTCAGTAGTCTTTAACCGAAAGGTTCTCTCTCATTATGACCATGAAATTTCAAAAGACTTTTAGGGAATTCACTTTATTCATAGTCTTGCCCAGTCATTAAAAATTTAGAATCTAAAATTGCTATTTCCTCTGTGTTAGGAATGATTGGCATTAAATACAAAGAGCTTGAAAACAACTACATAGCAGGAGAAAGTATGACTTTAAAAAACAATAAATATTATAGATGACTTTGTTAGATAGTTGCCTTAATAAAAATCAGGAATTGGCAGAGACTATGATTTTTTCTTTTTGTATATTTAGCACTTGTTTTTATTATGCATTAGCTTAAATGATCAACTGAAATATAATATGAAATAAATTCTTGCCTTAAATCTCCCTACAATTTCCTTTTTTAAGAGGCAAACATTTTGACTCTTTTGGTAATTCCATTTGGTATTTGCCTTCATATTTCTAAATGAGATATTTATAGCACTATTAATTTTTTCAGTTTTAGATACTATTTTCTCACTATTGAGAATTTAGCTGTTTTATATCATCCTTCATACAGATAATTTCTCCTCACTCCACTCAGATCTTCAAAGAGTTATAGTACATTCTCCACTATACTCACTTTTTTGTTATTATACCTTTACATATATTATTCACTGCCAAGGCAAATGGTATACTATACTTATGTTTCTTTTATGACTATTATATTAACTGGAGTTAGTTGCCTTTTTTTTTTTTTTTTTTTTTTTTTTTTTTTTTTTTTTTTTTTTTTTTTTTTTTTTTTTTTTCTTTTTTTAATCTGCTTGGCTGTTCACATCTGTGGCTAAGTTTTCTCACCCTCCCTACATCTCTAAATAATGTCTCTTTGTCCAATTCTGCATACTTTTGAGATTATCAATCAGTTTCACTGTTTCTTTTGTCCTTAGGGATAGCTCTTCCTGGTGCCTTCTATCTTCTTGCCCCAATTTGGACTGGTTGCTCTCTAGACCCGCTGAAAAACTACAATACTGGAACTTCCTTTTGGCAGCCTCTTGGGAGTTCCTCTTTCCTTTGTTGAATTCCTGGTTTCCTGAATCCCATGTCTCCTTCTTTCTAAGTTTACTCCTTAATTTTGGTGGAGCATTTCTCCAGTGCTTTCTAGGACAGGGCACATGGGAAGTACACATTGAACTTTTATACCTATTAAAATATATTTATTTTACTCTTTCATTTGATTGATAGTTTGGTTAGGTATAGAATACTAAGTTGGATGTGTTTTCCTTCATAAGTTGGAATGCAATGCTTCATTTTCCTCTAGCTTATGATGTTACTACTTGAGTAGTCAGATGTGATTCCAATTAAATGTGATTGCCTTCACCCTCATTTCTTTTTCATTTGGGGAAGTTTTAGAGTCTTCCTATTATTCTCAAATGTTCTAAAATTTTTTCAATGACATATCTTGACTTATGTCTGTTTGCATTTGCTGTACTGAGCATTCAGTGAATTCTTCAAATCCAGAAACAAACATTCTTCAATTCTGAGAAATTCTGTCATATTATTACTTTGATTTTTTTCTTCTCTCTTTAATCTTGTATCTTTCTGAATTAAGATATTGGAACTGCTGGATGAATCCTTTAATTTTATTTTTTTCAATTTGCTCTTTTTTTTGGTCCTTTTGCTCTACTTTCTGTTTACTGATTATTCCTTGTTTCTTTTTTTAAATGACAGTCTATTTCTGTCTTATAGATGCAATATGTTTTAAAAAACTCTACTTGAGAATATTATAGAGGCTTTTTAAGAAGTTAAACTTCTGCTATCTCCATCATTTCTCTTTCCCGGGCCTTTAGTTTTCAGTTGTTTTCAATCTGCTAAGTCTGTCATAAAGAGTTAAATAAAACCAAGTTACTCTTAATAAAAATAAGGTTGTCAGGAACAATTACTCCAACAGAGAACCTCTTAAGACAACCAGTGCTGATCAGCATGTTTCCAAGGTTCATTAACAGAATTAAGAAGTCATGAAGGCAGATATTAATTAAAAGATGGTGAGAAGCTCGTCTCTATTTCCACTGAAAACAGAGGAGGAGAAAACAGCCTTAGGATACAATATGAGTAATATTTTACATAGAGGGGAATCAAATAGAGTGGATATGTATGCTTTGGTCTGCTCAGCTGTTCTGTGGAAAACCTTTTCCTTCTTCACACTTTCACCTACATGTTTGTATCAATAGCTACCACAATATATGCCTTTGTCCAACACTTGCTTGACTAGTCCAGGGGTGGAAATCTGATCCAAGATGACTCAATCACAGCTCTTCCCTATGGCATTTTTAAAACTGAAACTGAAAAAAGGGACCAGTATATTTCTGATCACCCGAACTCTAAGATAAAGAAATTGAGAGCTTTTAGAAAACATGAGCCTGAGAAGCAGAGATCTGTACTGGAAACCTGCAGAGACACACAAGTAGATTCACAGAAAAAAGCGATCACTGAAGAAGAGAGTTTCAGAGGCATAAGAATCAGTTGTCCTGAGCTCAGTCTCATCTCTGTTCTAGCAATCTCAGTATCCTCATTAAATTCCTCTTTTGGCTTAAGTTAGTTTGAATTGGCCTCTGTATTGCAGAGATATGAACAAAGTGCTGCAGTTGCAAAGAAGGAAGTAGTTAAGATATGATCCAAGAAATTAAAGGCAGGAAAAGAAAGGAATTTCCAGGCTTCAAATTTTCACATTCTTTATAATGTCTCTATTTTGATACAGCTGTACTTTATAACTGCTTCTAATTTATAAGACCTGGAGTAGAAGTCCTAGTAAATATGTTCTCAAGTAGAGATGGATGAAAAACATATTTCTCCTGAATCTTATGATCATCATTACCCCTTGCTCTATCTCCACATCACTGTAAAGACACTGGGCCTGGCCTCCTGCCTCAGCCCAAGCCTCTCCAAAAGATTCCAGGACTATAGTACAAGTCACGTTTTTCTTCCTTCTGCATCACCAGATCTGCTTTCCCTGAAGCTGAGATTAGAGGACGATGACTTTTGAGCTCTTTTAACACTCAAAGGTGTCTCACATGTTCTCATTACAATTAGTGGCTTATGGACAATTACCTTAGTCCTATAACTTCTGTCTGATGACTGTCTTCTCTCCTGCTGATCTTTAGCCAGGTGATTCACTCCAACACCAGTTAGGGAACATTGCTCTAGTTATGTTCCAGAATAAATTTCTTCTTCTTTTTTTAAAAAAATATCTCCCTTACATCTTTGCCAGAAACACTTCAATAAAACCTTCTTTTGGGATTTGCATGTGTACGTATGTGAATGAATTGGGTTCAACAGTTGGGTTGGCAAATTGTCATTATCACTAGTTATCTAGTGAAAGCCTACAAAGGATGCCACAGGGGGAGAGATGTAGATAGTATGTAACTGTGTACCTTTTTAATCTTAGTATTTTAAATATTTAACACCATTGCCATGTAGTTACATCATGTTCATCAGACCCCCCTTCCCCCCAAAAACACTCTTTCCTAAATCAACCCCTCTAAAATGAAATGGACACAAATAAAAAGGGTTGTCTGGTGTATTGTCTTCCAAGAATTATGAAGTGAAAAAACAAAATTAAAGCAACTTCAAGATTAAGGTAAATATTTTCCTTTTAAACCAAAAGCTTGCTTCATCCATGGATTCATCGAATATCATTGGTACCATCTGAGAGGCCAGTTTTGTATATTGGTCAAGAGTGCCAGCTCTGAAGGCAGAAGGATTCTACTTCTGCCATGTACAGACTTCCTGTTCTCAGACGCGTTACTTACCTCTGTGTGTTTTAGTCCCTTCATCTTTAACATTAATGTAAATATTAGAATTATCTCACAGGTTGTCGTCAGAATTAAAGATAATGTATGTATGGTACTTAGGAGTATTTGAAACTACACCAGTACACTTAGTCTTTACCTTAATTTTCTTTCAGCACCACGGTCAACGTCAAATATTTGGAAGGACATTGAAATTTCCTGAAAGTGAAATTGTATATGACGTAATTAAATTCTATTTCAGTGTATCCTGTACCTCTAACTATAGAAACAAGGAGACGAATAACCAGAATAGTCAGAACCTCAACATTGGTAGGGGACAAATCCCATCCTTCGTATTCTCCAAGGTGACTTACAGAACGCTATCGCGTTGCGTGTGGACAGGCGTCCCAAATTTTAGTTCGCGGTCATCTTTAAAACCCCCCAGGGAGCTATAAGCCCGGCTGTTGGCCAGCGCTAAGCTCCCACCCTCGCTGATCTCCCAAATGTCCCTCCTCTCGGGTTACCGAGCCCGGCCTTCTGCGGTCCTCGGATCTTCAGCCTCCCCCGCCCCTCGCCGGCAGTGCCCGCCGGGCCGGGCCGCCCCCCTGCGCATGCTCGTTGCCGCGCGGGTGGGGAGCGCCGGGGCCGGGAGGCGGGCACCGGTCGCAGGTCCCTCGGGGCAGGGGAGGCCTGGGCCTGACGCCGGCCACGCAGCGGCGGGAGAGCGAGCACCCAGGCGGCGGCGTCCTGGAGACCCGCGAGAGATGGAAGCGGCGGCGACGCCGGCGGCGTCCGGGGCGGCTGGGCGCGAGGAGTTAGGTCGGTGTTGCGCGTGGGTAGGGACTCGGGGCCGACGGGGGCGGGGGTCTGTGCGGCGGCCGGGTGCCTTCAGGCCTCCCGGGGCCCCACGGTCGGCCAGGGCCAGGAGGAGGCGGACCCTGCCCCGCGCCCGCTGCCCGTCCGCATCCGGGTTCCACAGGGAGAGATGTGGGGCCGAGTGGGCGGCGGGGTGTGTGTGTGTGTGTGAAGGCTCTTGAGATTGTGGGACTGGCACAAGTTCGAATTTAAGAGATGTGGGGCCGAGTGGGCGGGTGTGTGTGTGTGTGTGTGTGTGTGTGTGTGTGTGTGTGTAGATTGTGGGACTGCCACAAGTTCGAATTTAAGCCCAGCAAACAAACCTCTCCGGGGCGTTTGGGATGAGCTGAGGCCTGATTGCTAACTGACCCCGGGGTCAGCATCCGCAGAGGAGCCGGTTATCTGACCCGAGAGCGTGATCAGGGGAAGGCCGGGCCTGCATAGGGCGTTAAAGTATATGTGTGTGTGTGTGTGTGTGTGTGTGTGTCAGTGTGTGAGTGTCATTTTGTGTGTGTGTGAGTGGGGCGGAGCCCTGTACGCGTCAAAGACGTGAGAGCCTGCGCCGCCACACGGTTTTTTTCCCCAGTGATACTTTAAGGAAGTTATCAGTGTTCTGCTTTTCAAATGCCGCAGCCCCATTCAGAATCTCCAGATGAATCCTTATTTTACCACTTGATATCCTGGGAGTGTCGAACAGGTCGTGCTGACCATAATGAACAGGAGATACCTGTAGCTAGCTCACTTGGCAAAGTTTGTTGGTTTTCCTGCTTTCCTCGGATCTTGTTTCTTGGCGACAGGGCGTGTTTGTTTATGGTTTCCCGCTGTCCAAAATACAACAAAAGTAAGGATCAGGGTGGTAAAATGATCTGTCTCCCAGTTATATGTACTATACTTGGGAGTATTTTTCATTCAGTGCTGATTAAATGTAATTAAAAGGCTAAATCTAAATGTAATTTTCAAGAAAAGGGTTGAACTTTTATAAAATACTGTATTATAAGTAACTGATAGGTTGTTGCTCCTCTTATAGCCTGCAGGGAGGGCACTTTGCAATGGAATTTTTTCAGATAGTACGTAATAATGATGGAAACAATAAACATTTTATTGCATGCTTACTGTGTGAAAACACTGTGTTAAGTGCTTTATCTATGCATTCTCTTTAATCCTCACAGCAATTGGGATAGGTGCTATTATGATCTCCATTTTATAGTAATTTTAAGCTTATTAATGGCAGAACCCAAATGTGAACTCAGGTTTATCAGACTGTTTTAAATTCATTAATAACCTGTGTTAGTGAGGATATGGAGAAATGGGTATTCTCATGCACTGCTGGTAGGAAAGGGAAAACATATTTATCCTTAAAAATGTACATACCTTTTGACAGCAATTCTCCTTCTAGAATATTTCCCGAGGAAATAAGTAATGTAACAAATATTTATATCAAAAGGTTTTCATTATAGTATATAGAGAAAAGCTGTTAACTAGAGTACAATGAAAGGAAATTGGTTAAATTGTGGTGTAGCTGTATACTGCCTACCATTAAAAGTGATATGGAAAGATGTTCACTATGTACGTTCTTTAACTGAAAAAAGTTTCAAATTATTTCAGGTTTTTTTAAGTTTTATGTATTCATTAATTCAACACATATTCGTTGAGCTTCTCCTAGGCACTTGAGATACATCGTGAGCAAAACAGATAAAAATTCTCTTCTTATGGAGCTTGTATTTAGTAAGCGAAAGCGGAGAATAAGCAGTAAAGAAAATAACCAGTTAATTATGTAGTATGGTAGGTGAAAAGTTCTGTGAAAAACAAGAGCAGGGTAAGGGAAATCAGGAATGGGGGTGGGGGCTGCGCAATTTACAATATTTTATAATGGTTTGGATGGGCCTTATTGAAAAGGTACAATTTGAGTAAAGACTTGGAAGATGTAAGGAAGGAAATTAGCTAAATGGATAACTGGGGAAAGACTACTCAAGGTAGAAAGAATGACTAAAGGAATAGCAAGGAGACCAAAGTGGCTGAAGCAGAGTGATGGAAGTGGCTATGGGGCCAAATTATTTAGGGTCTTATAGGTAATGTAGACTGTAACTTTTACCCTGAGGGAAGAGTGGACCAATGCAGGGTTTGAACAGAGGAGTGGAATGATCTGGCTTGTTTTAAAAGGATTGTATTGGCTGTTATGTGAGGAATAAACTGTAAGGGACCAAAGTAAAAGCAGGAGAATATTTCAGGAAAGATATATGGGTGTCCTTCAGAGCAATATGGCAGTAGTGGCAGTGGAAGTGAATAGACATAGTTAGCCTTTAGGTATATTTTGAAAGAACCAATGTGATTTCCTAACAGAATGGATGAGGATTAGAGATTAAAACAGAGGATACATGGAAGACTCCAGGAACCTGCATATTAGAAGAATGAAATTGTCGTTAATTGGGATATTATTGTGGTTTTGTAATATATCTACAGATTCTTTGATGTTTCTCTCTAAAGGAGGAGAAAATTTCCTTCCTTTCAAGCGAGGACTGGACTTAGTAACTTGTATCTAATGAATAGATTATGGTAGAAGTGATGATGTATGACTTAAATACTAGTTAATAAAGTACATTGTGCCTTCCTCCTTGCTTTCTCTTTTTGAATCACTCATTGAAGGAAAGCCAGCTGCCATGTTGCAAGGAGACCCAGGCGGCCCTAAGGAAAGCTCCATGTTGCACAGAACTGAGGGCTCCTGACAATAGCCATAAATTGATATACAGCAATGGATAACTAGTACAGATGGTTAAAGTTACAGGAATAGCAGACTTGCTGGTGAAGACCAGTTCACTTTGGGACATGTTAAGTTTGAGATGTCCATTAGATATCAGAGTGCAGTTGTCAGGTAGGCAATTAGATTTATGTCTAGATTAGTGAGAGGTCTGGTCTAGAAATATAAATTTTGATGTTATCAGCATATACATAGTATTTAAAGCTAGGAGACAGAATGAGAGCATTTGAGAGTTGTTTGTGTTTATGTGTGTGTACATGAATGCACACGTGTGTGCCTGTGAACATGTACTCTAAAATGTTAACAGTAGTAATTTCTGGGTCATGAAGTAACTTTTGATTTCAAAAATGTTGTTTATATATTTTCTGATTTTCTACAATGACAAAATGTTATTTAACTTAAAAAAAGAATTTCCAAAAATGGATATTTATGTGAAAATCACTGGTGGAGATGTTAAGATACAGGTTCTCGTAAGGTATATGAAAGGTCTGAATTTTATTTCATAGCCCATGGAAACCTTTGGAAGGTTTCTTGCTGTGTATATTTCCTCCATCTCAGAAATGAACAAAATAGTTATGGCTCTTATTTTGTATCTAGATAGTAGTTTATAGACTTGGGTGACAATTTTATGTTATTTTTTAAAAATGAAACTATTTCTACTTTCTTTTAGTTTTTCTATTGCCAAAATACAAGTGATTTTTAAATTTTATTATAAAAGTAATGCAAGTTTGCTGCTACTACTTTTTTTTTTAAACATTTTTCAGAGAAAGAAAAGTGCACTAATGATCCCATTGTCCATCTATATCCTCGTAAACTTATTCACATTTTGATATATTTACTTTCTCTTATTTCTACTTAATTCTTAAAAACATGATTTTAATCATATTGCAAATATTCAACTTTTTCTCACTTAGCATATGATACACTTTTCCCTGTTTTACTCAAAACTTCACAATCATAATTTAATGTCGGTGCAATACTTCATAAAGTGAATGTGCCAGAGTTAATTTACTAATTTCCTGATTGCTCCACATTTAGGTTGTTTCCCAATTTTCAACATCAGTAATGTTTTAATTAAAATTCTTGTGCAGAATCCTATTCTGCATATACTGGCTTGCCAGAAGTAGAATTACTAGGTGAAAGAAATAAACATTTTTAAGACTTTCATACATATGATATTGATAAATTACTGTGATTTTAGAAAATTCTGTCTACAACTTGAAATTTATGTTGGTTTTAGGCTTGAAAATTGAGGTTCAAACAATTTTTTGGGCAAATAAGAGAGCATACAAGCACTGCCTAATTTAAGAATGTTCCATTTATATGCACCATTAATGTATCCTTATGGTGTACTTTGTAATATACCTAATATCAGATATATGGTGTATAATAAATGTTGTATAACATTGAATCAAGCTGGTGTCTCTTATTTATCTATAATTTCTCCACTCATAAATAGCTAGCATATCTATTCCTTATAGTAGTGTTTTAGTTTATAAGGCATCATTAATTTTTACCAGTAATAATCACAGCATTTTCCAGAGTTGTCCAATTTAGTACTTAGCCAAAAATTACAGCAAAACATTGGGAAAATAATAGACATTGTGTGTAATGTGAATTGAGTTGTATAATTTTTAATTTCTTTGGGGTGTCAGTTTTTATTTCATATATTCTTAACCCCGTTTACCATGTTGAGTTGTTGAGTGTTCATCTCCCTCACTAGTGTCTCTTTCCTTCTGGCACGTATATCATGTTTTGCCCATCTTTGCATACTCAATCTTACAGCACGGTTTATGGGTCATAAATGCTCAGAATTATTAATTATTATTAAATTAGTTCTAATTTTTGTCAAAGATTGGCATTTTAAAATCCTATACAGCTTAATATACTTCTAATATGTGGAGGAGGAAGAAAAAGTATTTATTGATTACTTATTTTTATGTGCCAAGATGTAGGCTCTATGCTTCATATACATTATTTCATTCTTCACATTCTATCTATATGACATATATAATATGTATAATAACTTCATATACATTATCACTTGTGATGATGACATCACAAAACCCCTGTATAATAGAAGTAATTATTTTCAATGCACATGTGAGAAAATAAATATAAGAACTGCTAAACAATGCGAGTTTGTTACATTTTAACCAGAGGAATCTGGTTAAAATGTAAATCAGATGATATCACTTCAAGGCCCAAA